AAAATTTTTTTTAATTAAGCTGCCCGTAATGTAGCGATAAGATAGAAGGAGGAGGTGTAATAACGAAGGTTCGATGGCACGTGACGCGATTAATTCGAAGACGGTAAAAGGCCTCTGTCTGGATTGATCGATAATTAACTTTGCAGTGGTGCTACGGAATGAAATGCCTGTTGGTCGGCGAGCGACCAGGCGTCGTGGACGGCGGTTGGGGTGGCTGGTCACCTTGGAGTCGATGCTCTCGTAGCTGCGGTTCCGGTGTGGCTTTCTCAGTCAGACGTTGCACCAATCCTTCGCCGTCCAATGGCGGGGCTTTCTGTCGTAGTTATTACAATGGGTGAGATAAAATTAATACGAATGATCTGACTGGAGATATAAGTTCAACGACGACTCTTTGCGAGACATTCTTTAGACGACGACGATAACCTTTACAACGATACCTTTTTTTTTTTTTTTTTTTTAAGATTCAACCTGAAAATTGTGGAGAGCCAGCTGTAGTAAATCCTCCTTATGCTCTGAAAAAATTTAAGAGACGTTAGTTGTTCGGATTATTAGTATTTGGTGTGAAAATCAAATAAATTCGTGTAGGAAAAGTTTCAAAAAACCTGCAAAGCGGGGCAACAATTTTTTTCATTCGCCATCCTCTCTTGTATTTATACCTAGTTTTTCTCTCCACTCCTTCGTTTTCTCTTGCTACACACACAACTTTCGTACTCACACTCATTTTATATTTTTCCGAAAATTTGTCTCGGGTTCTGTTTTTTATCGTCCTTTGTTCCTTACGGCTGCTCAGGTAGAGCCCAAAATTTCCGATACTGCAATAATGATTGATCAAATTGAGGATTTGTAAATTTGCATAAAGCATTACTCGATCCATAGTATAATAAATTTCGAGTCGGTATATTTATCTTTGTGACCTTTTTTTTTTTGAAAGTTGAAATAACATTCTTGAAGAGTAACAATTTCTCGGAAGATGAAAATAGTTCAGCGTTTTATAGTTCTCATGAGAGACGGATTCATAAAATCTGGATGGGCACTATTTCGACGATCTTCAAGGAAAAGCTGGGTACATGAAACGGACGCCTTGTGCGGTAAACTTTCGCTGCAGATGCGTTTGATTTATTCAATCTGGGTGAAATGCAGCGCGAGTCGTGAATCAGTCAGGATGAATGTTTATTGCGATGTCGCTGCACCCATGGCTAATTAACGTCTAGATTGCTAGTTTAGGGAGATGGTATGGATAAGAGAATAGTTGCAATTAGTCTAGAAAGATACATTTATGTACAAAGTAAATTTCTTTTTGCAGGTGAAGCTTCTGAGAGATAGTAGGTTGAACTAGCAATTAACTTTCCATTGATTTATGAAAATAGTTTTGTGTATGTGTGCTTGAGGATATTTATTATAATTGGAATGTTGAAGGAAACTCATAAATTCATCACTGTACTTTCAACACAGTTTTCAACAAAGTACTTACTATATCTTCAACTTTGAGGCTTATTTTCCCTTTAGCAGTCATAAAAAGTACCCACTTTCTATCCCATTTCATCCTACTTCCATGTTGGGCTTATTTTTAGGTTAGGTTTCCTGAAAATTGTGCAGATTTCTTAGAAAAATTATCCATGTTTTGTCCTAATTTGTTTGACTGTTTTGGTATACACGCATTAAGAAATCCTTGGCAAATTGAATGTTTTCCTTCACCTAACTACATAATCAGCCGCGAACCTTAATCTTGGTAAATCTGAAACTAGGCTGCCTTACACAACCTTGCCGTGCGTCATTAAAACTTTGCCTGGATTCTAGCCGTGCGACGTAGATGCGCTGTCGTTCCGCGACGTCCAGTGCAGCGAGTTCAACAACTGGGTCTTCCCGGAAGATGGAAAAGTTCACCAATGGACCGCTTACAAGCTGCCTGAGGGTAACTAGCTTACGGGCAAACCGTCGATACGTCGAATTTTCCCATATTACATCCACTTCTAGTGCTTTCTTAAATGTTACAAATGTATCTTCATAACTTGATAGCACAACTGAAAAAAAATAATTCTTATACTTTCTAATTCATCACTGTAAAATTACATTAATCAGGTTTCTAAAATACTGACGATCAAAATAAGACTAAACATGAAATACTGTGTAGAACTGAGGAGTTTGCCCGTGGAAAGAAAGCGGGTTTGAATCGAATCATATAGCACCGCCTGGCGGAATATTCGAGAGATAAGAGTGAAATGCCCTTCTTGCCCATGTGCCGCCCCGAAGGCAAACTCCCGAGCATCGCGCAGTACGTAGTTATTTACGAAAGAATCTAAAATCTCGCTGAAAACCAACAGTTTCACACATACCTGCATACATATATACACAGTAGTTTCACTTGGACACTAAAAAATACGACCAAGTCACTTTGAAGGGAGGAAGGAAGCAGTGCATAAAGAAGTGCCCTTCTTGTCCGTGTGCTGTCCTACGGGCAAACTCCTGAGCTTCGCACAGTACATGTACACGACGTTTTGCTTCATCTCTCTCACTCTCTCTCATTCACTCTTATTTTCGACACACTAAAATTTCATCATTCCTCAAATACTTGCCTGCACGATTAAATACAATAATTTACTCTGTATCCATCAATATTTATTAGAGTCAATTGGCAGATTTAAGAGCTTCCGAAAATCCATGCGGCCTCTATTGCCTAAGCGAGACAAACGTTGTGGCTTCACTTCGGCCAAGAGTAATAGACGGCACCACCTGCTATAGGGGCATACGCGACATATGCATAGACGGTGTCTGTCGAGAGGTACCCTGCGATTTAAACATGGAGTCGAACGCCGTGGAAGACGTGTGCGGCGTCTGTAAGGGTAATGGCGTTTCGTGCAGCCTGAAGGAGGCTACGATAATGATCAGTCAGGCGTCCCGTGAGTGTAATTACCCGATTCGCCGGATGATTTGTCCTCTTTTTGAAAATCTTGTCAAACGTTTTATTTAACCAGGTTTTCCGCCTTTATCACCTGTTTTACAGTTACTCTAACGTTTTATTACCGTCTTAGGCTGTTAGCTCACGCGTTAATGACGATGTTACACCTATCTTTCGGTCTGTCGCGTTTCTCTCAAGGAAGTTGAATATTTTATACTACATGTAGCATAGTTTTTCTTTTTGTGATTTACATGTTCCGTAGATTTTCTGATAGCGTGTACTGGAATCATAATTTCTAATCCTGACCGTAAGCAATTTTGATTTCTTTTTTTATTCTTCAAATTATATTCCCCTCTTAACGCGTGGTAGTCGTGTTATTAAGCCATGACTAAATCTAACCCTTCAGTGGCTCCATCTACACTTAAACGTCTTTAACAAACAACTGTCACCAAATACATAAAAAGAACAATTTTTTTATAATCATTTTTGTATCTAATAAAACAAATAACATGATGATAATTACAATTCTATTGCAAAACCCACAAAACTGGTCGTTTAATTACACAAACCACGAAATTCATCCGTCTCCACCACAATTTCCAATACACTGCTTAAAATTGATTAAACAACGGAGAGATTCCAATCGTAAAGTCGACGAAAGGGGCGCAAGATATGGGAATAGTTGATGTGTTAATCAAAGAATGTCGGGAGTTTGATTTAATCAAAAAAAAAGTCCGGCTAGTTGAAAAAGTCTTAGGACGTGAAAGAATCTCTAATCGCGATAAATAAAACGTCCGCCGGAAGGAGGTTGAAATTCCGCGCGGATAAAGGGGCACTGGAACCGTGAAAAGTGCGAGAACTTTCCTTGGTATTTTCCGAAGAATCTCGGCCGTTCTCTCAGCTTTCGAAGCCCAGGCTCGATATATATCCTATCAACGAATAAATCTCTTATTCTCGATCCAACGAATCGATATCGCGCGTCCCTGAGTCCGGTATAAAACTTCTAATAATCGAGAGGGGAAAACTTTCAATGGCAGACCCGAGGAAAATAGTAGATGTCCCCGCTGGAGCGACCAACATACGTGTGGAGGAGATCGAACCCTCGAAATCCAGGATAATGATACGGACGAAGGATGGGAAAACGTTAATCGATGGGTAAATGCACTTTCACTAAAGAATTCGAGCACTTTGACCGTCGAACGCGTTAAGTAATTGTTTTCGCCACACTGTTTTCATTTAATACTGGTGGATATAGTACAGTGGGTATAAAAAAAAGGCTTACACATCACTTCTTTTTTATTTTGATATTTAATTATTGATTAATTCGACTTAAATATATTATATTTTCAAGCAATTGAAAAGTAAGGTTAGGTGTTGCATCGGCGAAATTGTTTTTAACCTGTTATACAATACTTTCTGATTTTTCTTCACTTCTTTGAACATTGTGTATAATAAAATCAGCGTTATATTTTAGTAGTAGAAATGAAATATACAATTACACGTATTCCGTCGTATCCCGATACTACTTGACTCTCATCTGACTATTTAACTGGATACGCAACGACTTAAGGCGACTTTCCTTACGGCTCGTTCTCATGTTAACGATATCGAATATAATGTAACTCTACAGTTCTAAAGAATTGTTATTTTTTGTATCCACTGTATTATTGTAAGTGTGCATATATAATTATTTCTCAGATTATTATGAATATAAAAAAGTGATTTGATTTTTAGAAAGAAGGGGAATATGTATGAAAAAATTAAAACTGAATTTCTACAAACATTTCTGTTTTCAATGTTAACCTACATTTTTTTACATTTCTACTAGATATATAATTACGTGTATACATTTGAATTCTAACATACTATTCAGAAGCCATTCTCCCGTTCCTCCAATTAGAAACTTCGAATTAAACCAACCTTTCCTCGATCGTCATTTTCATTCACACTAATCTCCATCTGGAACAAAGCGATTCTCGAATTAATCGAGAATATTATCTCCGATTATATTTCAGCGATCGTTTAGGAATGTTGAAGGTGGCGGGCACGAGGGCGTGGCTAGGAACGATAAGACCGAGTCAAGAGGCTCTCAGCATACCGGGACCCGTCACGAAGGACTTGCATATATTGGTAAACATAACGAACGCGGTCCGCTAATTAGCCAACCGACCAGATCGATAAGGTATCTCGAACAAGGTGTCCAGCCACGGACAGTTCTTATCATACGGTGCAACACCTCTCGTTGTGTCTGTTGGATGGCGGAACGAAGAAAGCTCCGTTCGACTAAACGCCCTCTAATAGCTATTAGAAGTGATACCTATGGCAGCGCCTATTACCACTGCTCGCACCTACGCGACAGCCGTCGTAAAACTTCGCATCCGTTCATTAGAAGGAACGTTGCATTCCGGCATAGTGTCTATGGCGCCGCGGGGAACGACTGACGAGAACATTACTCAAATCTAATTAGCTCTCTCACTGTGGCTTCGAATAGAACAGCCAAGACGTTTTGACAGATATTATTCTTGTGATAGACTGCTGATAGGTTAGGGAAGTGTGTTGTGTTGATTACATAGAGATAATGAAGAATTAATTTTTTTGTCATGCAAGATGTATTGTTACAAGCACTTTGACTGCTGTGTCAACCCTATTTGGATTAAGGACACCGTAATTCATAGATAGGTGATAGTTGCACATTTCACAAGTGTTTGTATTGAGTATGATGTAATTATTTCTTCAATGACTATTGATTCATTTTTTTTTTTAATACAGTTTAAATTGTCACATGTAGTTGCTGTACAACTTTAGACCTTGTAAAGTCCATATTTGATATTAGTTGACCAATCAAAGTAGTGGATTGAAGGTTACTTCTATCTTATGTGTCAACAACTATCCAACCCTGTTGCAACTATTGCAGCATTCAAAGATCTTTAGAAATAGGAGAATAAATTATGCATTTTATATAAATACAAAAACATCTTTGTATCTTCTGTTACCTTCATATTTGAATATCATATTTTCAAACATAGCTTCTGCTCTTTTTAGAAATGGAAGAATTTTTTAGCATTTCTGTCATAGTATTCTTGTTATTATTTCAATTTATTTTTTACATAATATCAAAATTTTTGGTTCAATGGACAACTATTCAGACTGAATGCGATTTTATACCCTGAAAAAAAGTAGTTCAGTTGTCACATGCATGGCATCATTCTGTCGACCAAGTAAGATATTTCATCGAATAGGTTCAGCCTAAAGAGAACGTGACGGTGAGGTATTCGTTCGGCGTGAAAGAAAAGAGCCCTCGTAAGCCGGAATTCTCGTGGGACTTTGTCGACTGGGAGAAGTGCAGCGCAAATTGCGGACCTGGTGAACAAATTTCCAAGTCTCGTTGCCTAGAGAAGCTTGCTGGTATTGTAGATGAGACGTATTGCAAGAACATACCCAGGCCTGAAGAGAAAGTGAGACCCTGTTATCGGGCACCTTGCTTGCCGAGGTTAGAGCGACACCTTCGTTACAGGGTTATTTTTAATTCAAGAAATGGTGAATTCAGTGAATAGCGTACAATGTCCTTGTTACGATATTGTCAATTGTACACGCCACATTTTAATTAATATTACTTTTTAGTATTTTTCAAAAATTCTCTACGAAATTTAATGAAGAATAGAGGATACGTTACCTTGAATCTAACCTAGACTTTCTTTAACCTAACCTAGATATAACCCACAACTGCTTTGTATAATTTAATATAATACATACAATTAAGAATTAAGATCTTTTAAGAATATTTCTAATGAAATTAATAAAAAATTTTAGGTTATAGGAATTAGTAGTATGACCTTTAGAAATATTATTAATGTGAACAGGACAGGATAGGTTAGGAATATATTAGCAACATTATCTCGTTTTTCAAGAAACACACTTTTCCTTTTCCATGACAAGAACTAAGTTTCTGCAACAAAATATAAACACGTTCATTATTCAATGTCGCCTAAGGACGAAAAAAAAAGATGAAAAGATCCTTAACACAACGATAACCGTCTTATTCTAACGAGACGGTGGCCGATAAGCTAGAGTAGACCGTAGCGTCGGTCTAATTTGCTGAAATGGCAATCATGGTGATCGTAGATGGATGATCGGCGAGTGGCAAGGTTGCACATCCTGCGTGGTCGGCTGTGAGAAGAGACGTTCCGTCAAATGCGTACGTCCTGTCGGCCACTCCGAGCAGGATGTAGATATTATCGCTGACAGCTACTGTCAAGGACCGAAGCCAAAGGAACGGGAGTCCTGCACCAGCCGAGAGAAGCGGGATAACGTCCTGACACGCGAACAGAAAAACAAAAGTACATATACTTACCAGCTCTCCGCCAGAGACTTTCTCTTATTCTCTTCCCTCGATCGATAGAGAGATAGCTCAAATACAAAACGAATGTACCAACGTGTGTTCAAAGGAACGATGGGTTAAAATGACAATCGTTTTGAGGAGAATTGAAAACATTGATTGACGTGGAATTTTTTTTTAGTTTTTCTACTTTGGCAATAGTTATTTCAAAGCTATGAGAACAGTGTTTTTTGTGAAATTTATTTAAAGGTTATAATATCATTTTGTGTAAAAATACTTAACCTCCTTTAGCTTAGTAGTATGTATTTTACAAATTGTGTAAGTAAACTGTGAGTAAATTCTTACGAGTGAACGAAATGTCATAGTAATAATAGATTTGATTCAACGTAGATAGTGAACATTCTTCCGCAAAGAAATTGAAACATTCAACGAAGCACAAGGAAGTTCCGAAAGTTCCTAACGTAAAGAAGGGCGAAGTTGTGGTCGACAAAGAGGACATTAAAAATTTAACTCTCACCATCATCTTGGAGCGCGACGAAGAAACCGACACTCCGAACTTTCCGAAGGATTTCGAGCCCCAGCCACCAGCCAATAGTACAAAATTTACTTTAGTTGGAATGGATGCAGTCAGGTATATACAGAAAATTCAAGAAGACCCTGCAACTGTGGCGAAACGTCGTTCCGAATAGCATAAAAGTTGCTATGTATAATACAATATAGCTATTCACACTGTAAACTTTATGTTTATAAATACGTATTAAAAGTATACTGTAACTCATAAACTTACACTGGGTCATTATAAATTCATTAATATCATGTAGCAATAAAAGTATCTCATCTCTTGATTAAAGCAAAAGCACTGTAGGAATGATCGATCGTGTCGTTAAATCGAGAATAGCGATTTAACAGGCGTGACGTAACTTTGTAATAAATCGCGGCGTTATTATACGAAAATATTGATACGTCAATTAAAAACACGATAATCTCGGGGCAAATGACGCCCACGCGAACCGCCAAGTTCACGTTTTGTTTCCTGTCACTTAACCTCACCAAGATTGCATTTCGCAAGAAATTGAATTTACGTCGACGTAGATCAACTTTTCAATATCCATTAGTATCGCTAATTAAATTAAACGCCTTATCGAAAGTGAAATGGGGAAATGTTTGTAACATAATTTACTAAAAGCCATAAACTAAGGGCTTATCTATATTTTCTCGATATACTAAAAACATATTTTTATAATATAATAAGATATTAAGATACGTACTATTATAATAACAAACAGATATTAGGATTCGAAGTGTACAGCGGAAGGCACTAGAAATTACCTTGTTTCCTTAAAAATAATTCCTTTGTTCCATTCCCTACTTACGATACTGAACAACATACATCTGCGATACAACTTTCATATGACACGTTTATCCTAATAGATTTTCACGCATCAAGGTTTTTCTGAAGAAAATTTTCCACCATTACACTGTCCTTTCGTAATTATTTTATCGAAAATTCTGCTAATTATTCATCTAAATGAAAAATGAACCTCGAGTAATATTCTCAAATGATTAATCACAGTTGATCACAACAAACATTGCATACATAACCTCAACTAGTGATTCCAAGTGCCTCGCTCTATACACGAATCAAGGATCAACAACACCATCCGAATTCTAAATTACTAATATTTTCACTGATCCACAGAATCCATAATTCTTGCCAAGCCCTCATAAGTATAATTTTCTTTGTAACTCTTTGGCGTGGTGTCGTGATGGCCCTCCAATATCTCGATCTTCTTAACAGCTTCTGAGCCGTTGTAAATTTTCATGCGCGATGTGTCTATACCGGCGCCGATTATGTCTCCGGATTCCTGATACGCTTTGTCCGACAGATTCGCCTGGAGATTATCATCCATCAATGGCGCTTCCATCAATATCACGTTCTCAATAGGCACTGAATCTTTGATAAGTGATCCAGGTTTTGGTGTGGTAAAGTTCCGACTTTCGCAGGTACCGCGTTTCCGTTTCTCGTCATCGGCGAACGACCACTCGCGAAGAAACTGACGGAAATTCGCCGTGTCTGCCGCCTTCCCGAACTCGTCCGCCTCGTAAGGTACACCATACGCCTTCTCCAAATATCTGGCCAGACTCAGGTCCACGAACTTGTCGATCAATGTGGCCTGTTCTTCTGCAGGCAAAGGCTGTTCCTTTTCGTTTGTACTCTTCAATTCTTCGTTCGTATTCCGAGCCTTCTTTGGACAGCTCTTCCTGCATGGTCTCTTGCCTGTAAGGAAATGAAGGGAGATTAATAGATTGACCGCGATGTGGCGCTTCTATCTTTACGCACATGCGCACTCCAGTATTATAGATTCTTAGATTGATGTGTGCGCAGTTGATTATTTGTGTCTAGCATTTTCATACATGAGACGTTTATACTACTTTTTACTTTGGAATATACGTGAAAGTGTCGTATGGGTTACCACAAAGTATTGTACATAGGATTGAGCAAGGTATCGAGTGGGAAAATACAGATCATAAGGTAAGTATTGTAGGTTAAATCGTGTTTACAAGACGAAAAGAATTCAAAGACAGACCACGCTGTTTGTACAATATGTTCCCACAGAATATTAAAAGATATATTGGATCACTGTCGTGTGCTTAGGTGTTTCATCAATGTTTTCATCTACCGCAAACGCAATAATCCATTACGACTGTCAGTATATCATACGATATTTTTACGAAAATGCAGGGAACAGCTGTGATTTATCGTGAGAAGCCATTGTTCGAGGATAAAGCAATCACAGCCTGGCAATATGTAGTTTTTAGTAATTCAGTGAAACAGAATAATATATAACCGGCGAATAAAGTACCTTTCACATGTATGAATGTGCCTGCGTGCCTCTGAATGACGCGTCAATTAAGCTGTCAATGATTAATGAATGGAGAAAATATTTAACGCATGATTGATTGTTCGAGGGACGGTGAAGGCCGCATTGAATATACGTACAAAAAAAGGTGTACCAAGAACCTATTTGTCGGACTGAAAACAAGTTGACTCGTTCGTGTGCTAACGACATCCTTACCTATGCAGTCCTCTTTCTGTTTTGGCACGCGACCTTTGCACGCATCCAGATTCGCCTGAACATCGTCTTCACCTACACGCGCCGCGGGTCGTACACACTGTACCTTGCGATGCTTCAGTCCTTTCTTTCCGTCGCAAGCGCTACACTTACTCCATTGACTCACACGCCACCTTGAAAATTCAAGTAAACAAAATTCGTCAGGGAATGTCTTTCGTAACAAATATATGACCTTTTAACCTATCTTACACTCAAATGCGTCAATGATAATAATTGACCTATCTCTTCTTGTTTTTATTTATTTGTATTGAAAACTATTGGGGTTAGGTTCGATAACAGTTGTTGATTAACATGTTGAAATTAGCTGATAAATATTTACATAATAATAATAATGCAATAAACATCCAATAATACTAATACGTGTAGGCAATGCTACAGAGTACATATATAGAGTGCAAATCATAGTTATGTTTACTTTGCAGGACAGAGTTGTGCGTTGCAAACACGGCTTTTAGGATCTGGTCGCGGTGTGCCATCACAAAAGTTGGGACTCACTTTCCCCGCATGTTCTTCGATGCACGACGCCTCAGACAACTGTAACGAGTAAAATATCCAAATTTTCACAGTTGCTTCCACGATAGGAAGGTTACTGTAAATTCAATACGTCTCCGGATACGCGCTAATGGTTTCCCTGTGTATCATTGAACCAACTTAGATATTCAGGTTACCATTGTGCCGCCGCCGCATTTAGCGCTGCACTCAGACCATTCCGTGAAATCCCATATGTAGTTCGGTGTGTATGACGGATCAGTCGACATCACGTAATATGTATAACGGACCCCGGGACAGTCTGGCTGGTAGTACACGTACTGAAATCGTTATAATAATCAATCATTAATGCGTGTATTTAGAATCAAAGGGGCGCTGCTACAAAGTCTCTTCATGACACCACTGCCCTCTTTCTGACGTTTATCAGACTCACACATGTCACGTGACTTAATTTTCGTTAAGTAGAAAATTAGTGTGGTGTATGTATGTAATTAAAAATTTATTTACAAGGAAGGTAATAATAAGCAGTGAAAAATATTTAGATGAATATTTTTTAATAAGACTACAGTATTAACTGAAATAAAATTACTTCTAATCGAATATCTTGGGATATCGGTCCTTTTATTTCAATTTCTTCTCTGTATCTCTCGGGATGTTGGTAAATAACAATGGCCTTTGCACATTCATATTCACCATTTGTCTCTTCTGTCCTACAATCGAAATAAAATCTTTTTTCTCCCTTAACCTTTAACTTTTTACAACCTAAATATAACCTACAAATTTAAAATGTATCAAGGATGCAATTTATTACGTGGAAGCAAAAAGTAATTACATGTTTCCATTTAGACAGTAGGTATTGTTGTTTTCCAATCTGACTGCCAGCGTGTTAGGATGAGACTTCACCTCTGACGCTTGTATACTTCGAGCGCCCTTAGGGAATGTCACCACTTTTGTGTACACTAGCACACACATTTGACATTGAACTTTACATATTTAAGTATAAAACTATTTGTATGCATACTTGTGTTATGAAAGTGTTTTTGGTAATTGCAACTAACGTAAAAGATCAAGTTTGGAAAATTGAACTTACCTTCCCCCTTTCTTGTATCGTTGAAGAAACCTGTTACTGCCTTGCACTTCGTTCCGTCGCCTTTGCAGATCCCACACTTATCCTCGATGGCGTTCGAACCGAGCACCCAATCACAACCGACTTTCTGCAATATCACACCTTTCCCGTTTGAAAAGCTTCTATTTCTATTTATAATACGATTTACTTCTAAAAAAATCCCCTAATTTATAATGAATTCGGTATTAAGACGTAGCAAACTCTTAATTGGCGTCACATTACTCATTCGTGTATCTGATACCAGTGGTGCACGGTATCGCTGCTATGTAATTATACAGTATATGTATTGCAACGTGTAATTGTTGGTAATTAAGTTTACGAAGCTACAGTGTTACTTTTAGCAGACACGTCACAGAATCCGTAAAAATACAAATATACGATCGTGAAGTTACGACTCAATTAGTGTAATTACATTAGGAAATAAAAAAGTTTATATGTTCATTCATTATATAACCCAAAATCCTTCTCACGGTCTTTGGAATGGTTTGAAATTGCAGAATGTAATAAATAATGAAAATAAATAGACTGATGAAATATGTACAAGAGATTCATCGCGAAGATTGTGGCACGAATAGAAATGGAACAAGTAATTTCTAAAGCAGGCTATCTTTCTCCTTCCTTTCCATAACGAAAGCATTATATAACGTCTTTCACGTTGCAGATCACGCGAATACGTCTTCCTGCTTCCTGATTTAATTTATATTACTGAAACACTTCCAACCTTACGGTATCCTACTTTGCAAATGAATTCTCAGATCTTTTGATTTAACGTAATCTGACGGAGCGATTGCGAATCTGTCAGAAAAATTAGTATCAAGAAATGCATTTTACTCGCGAAGGTAACTTTTTGCATTCGCGAATATTATCTCATTTCTAATGTTGGCTAGCCCTTATATCTAGTACAAACAGTGACATCTCGCGTCTTATAACCTAAAAGTAA